AAATGTCTGATCATGTGAAGTTTTGCTATTAGAAAGAATTTTGTCAGGATATTATGAGTGGACCATGACCATTATTTTCTGAATATGATTAATATCAGCTTGAATAACAAGCGTTGGGTATGGAATACAGAATCAGTAATAACAATTTCATATTTTAACTATGCATATCATACTAAAATCCATAATAAAAAAGATAATAATGATGATGATAAACTACCATTAAATATATAAAGGACACAAAATAGCCAATGGTTACATAACAAATGGGTTATACATGTAACATGTATTTTTATAGACCAAATTTCTAGAAAGTCTGTCTATCAAATGCATTAAAATGTTACTTAAATGATGAATTGGTATTGGCAAGTTGGACATTCTCTTATAAGTCTTCCCAAAGTTCAGTGGCTACTGGCTGTAGCTTCATATTGAACATCTATACTATACATACATTATGTCCTTATCATCATTTCTATCACAGACTAATCGAGCAGGAGGAGCCAGTGGGACTGCGGGCACAAAGACAGGAGGAACCACCAGTGAGTTCTTTGCAAATGAAATAAATTTCCAATCACACGTTTGCATTTCACTTACATTTTTCTCTCAATTTCCAGACTCAGGTGCCGTAGCCTACACAAACTGGAGGGACCACAAAATGCCTCCCAGCACACTAGAAAGAGCTCAAGCCACCAACTAACCAGCCAGTTACACTCCTGAACACTAATGCCACAACCACATAACAAACACTTCACAGCAGGCGAGAGGCATTACTCAGGACCCCACTTTTCCACACTTGACATTGTTCCACATGGACAGAAAAAGAGATGAAGGGTAGCAGAGAAGGTTGGCCCTGTCCTCTGCCAGCCTGAACCACTAACCACACCTTATCTTCATGACATCAGGCTTCAATTGTCTGGATAGTGTCTTAAAGAAGTCTCATTTATGGCATCTGAGTTCATCTAAGACTTTTCATGAACTTTCATCTGAATTTCTTTTAACTAGCTGTCTAGTCTGAGTAGTTTTCATTATGTTTTTTTTAAGAGTTTGGATTCTGTATGTTTTCACCATTATTTTCTTTCATAACCTTCACAGGAACTATACTGATCACTCACAAAATACTCACACTCACTGTTCACTCACATTGAATGAACTGCGTTGATTTAATCCTGAGTGAACAGTTTCAAAGTCTTGACAGCAGCAAACCTACCAGCGTCCATCGTAGCTGATTTTACCTTGACAAATATTTGGAGTTGAGGTGTTTATAGTCCTTGAGCTAATATAACTCTAGGGTGGCTGCTAAAATGGTCACATTTCAAATTACCTCTGATTGGTACTGGTGACTGGAGACTTTGTTGTCCAGCTAGTAGCTGATAGGACATCCTGCTCTTTCCAGGATGCAGATGAAGTGAGGCCCAGTAAGGAAATTACTGCTTCCCACTATTAAGTGAACCCTGTATAGAGAGCTGATGAAATTATGTGATTGCCTTGAAGCTCTTTTCTGAGTAGAATGCAAAAGTTTAAAGACCATTACAGTGAAACTTTTAGCTTGTCTACTACAAATTGTGTTTACTCGTTAGTGCGACATTTAGGGAAGTACACTTAGTGGCTTTTTTAGCTGAGAGTTAGATGAGAAGATTGATATCACTCCCATTTGTATCTGTTAAATATGAAGCTAAGACACAGTTAGCTTAGCTTAGCACAAAGACTTGAAACTGAGGGAAACATCCTAGTTTGGCTCCGTCCAAAGGTAAATAAATCACTTACCAGCACCTCTAATGCTCATTATTTAACATGTAATATTTAACACATACAAAAACTGAAGTGTAAAAATGCCACGTTGTGGTTTTACAGTGGGGTTATGTGCTGTAACTATTTCCTGACTGGGCCAGTGACTTCCTTAAGATGATGATACACGGGGCAACTTTCTGAGCAATGTTGCTGTGCAATGTTACTGGTGACAAGTCAGACTATGTTTTGAACGGGTAGCAGCAGTGCGGGAGTCACTGCCCAAGGCCAGAACAAATGACATATAATGTGTTAATTTGTCAGCTTTAGAGGGGCTGGTATGTTTTTTACCTCTGGACGGGGGCCAGGCTAGCTGTGTAAAATCCATCATCTCATCTTACTCTCGACAAGAAAGCAAATATTTGTACTTCCCAAAATGTCAAACTATTCCTTTAATATTTCTTCCAACCACTTTGAAACTACTGCATATGTACGTTTTAATATTATTGGATGTATTATTCCTACCACACCTGACAGCCACCGGTTTCCACTCCTGTCAGGTAGAGCAGAGCCAGTGAGAAAAATGCATACGGTATATGTGATTTGTAGTGTAAGTGTTGACGCTGATAAGATAAAATTGTGATTAGAGGGTTATTATCAGTGAAGGGATTAGCTTTCTGTTAGAATTAGTTCCCTTTTTGTTTCAGTGTTTCTGTCTGCTGCTGCTGCTGCTGCTGAACAGCCTCTGGTATAGTCAGGTGGCCCAGATAAAGTATGTTGTAGGATTACCCTTGTTGTAAGCATACACGACATTCCTGAAAACAAAAACTGCTTAAAAACCCATCCATTCCTGGTTGTGATGAGATGGGAGTGGCACCTTGTCTTACTGAGCCAAGTGAACCAAAGGTTAAAAAACTTCAAAGCTGGGTGGGGTTGTCATTCTTGTAATGCCAGTTGTCATGCTGTTTGATGCCGTATAAATCTACTGAAATGTCTGAATAAATGACACTCAAGTGAGACAACACTGATGTGAGTGACACTGCTTATCTTACTGCTGTCCAAAACCGGTTTTGAACACATGAACACAAAACATTCTATTAAACAGACAGTTTGGGTTATTTTACATATCTGTATTTATATTTTTGTCTGATTCTCACTACTTTGAAATTGGTGGGGCAGTGGGGATGGCACGTACATCAGTTCACCAATCAGCTTTCAGCAACATTTTAATCAAAATTTTAGGACAGCCGGTGGTTCATTGGTCACTGTTAATTAATTTAATTAAACCACACCCACACAGTCCTGATAAAGCGGATTACCTGAGTTTTTTAAGTTTTAAACTTAAAATAACTGCTATCGTCGTTTTCCGGCCACAACTTTACCTTCAAATACTGAATCGATTTAGTCGTTAATATTTTATTTTAAACACAAAAACAAAGGTTTGAAATCACGTTTCTGGGTCTTTTAAGTCCCTCACACCAGAGGCAATGAAATTTCAAACAACCAAAAATATTTGGGGGCTTAAAATGGGTTTACTGGAAAATACAATACTGTATATCAAATGTCGAATAAAATGCTACCTGTTCACTAGTCAGTATTCTCTTCAGTGGTAGGTGCTCAGACACTTTCCTTTAAAGAAAATTCAGGAGTTCAGTAGTGAACTTTAACAAGAACTTTTAACCAACCCAAGGGATGGAACTGTCAGTCGGTCGACCACTTTGGTCCAGACTGAAACAACTATAGTATAGATCGCTGTGAACTTTTGTACAGACGTTCATGTTCCTTGGAGGATGAATCCGACTGATAATTTTCCTCTGGCAACACTGTGATGTTTTTTTATCGAACTGCTTCAACAAATACTGAATGGATTGTCATGAAATTTGGTACAGCCATTCATGTTCTCTTCAGAATGAATTGTAATCAATTGTAATCATCTAGCACACCATCAGGTCAAAATGTGTCCAAGACTTTGGTTTCATCAGGAACAGTCTTTAATGTTTATCAGCAAATGTTACCATGCTAACACATTAAGATGGTGGACATCTAAATATTTTACCTGCCAAGCATAAGTATGTTGGCCATGTAATTTTGTAGTGTGGCTACAGACTCTTGGGCTTGTTTAAGAGAAGGAGCCATTCTTTCAAATGGAAGATATCTCATTTTGTAAGGACCTAATAGTGGACATCAGCCAATTTCCAGGCCCCTGCCATAGGCAACACTACCTAATCTAAACTGACTTCAACGACATTTGTCTGCTGACCACTGCCCTTAAAATCATTTATATTTTTTGTAATTATACAATAGCACTTTAATGCCTTGTTAGAATCCACTGTAGTCTTGTTTCTGTATGTTCACTGGGTAAATCCTGCTTAGTAAATTCTTCATATCCATCTCTATCGCTCTAACCAGTTAAGGCAGTTGCCAGACAGCCTGCAGCTAGAGCATCATGAAAAAGGAAGAGAATGAATTCTGTCTGGTTTAGGAATCAGATTGGGACTAGGATTGGGTTACTGCCTCTCCCTCTCCCCCCCCGCTCTCTGACTGTGTCTGTGCTCAGACCCTAAAATCCCTGCTGACTGGATGTCTAGTGGAGAGGGTGCAGACAGCCGACACTAATCCGGTCTCAAACACACACGCGCGCGCGCACACACAGGCACGGGCTCTGCAACACACATACATGGTGGAAACACAGGAGAGTTGTGTTTCTCTATGCAGGCAATGCTTCATGCCTAATGTTGGGGTTGTGGGGTGTCAGCAGTTTCATTAGTTTTGAGTTAAAACTGTTAATGGTGCTTGAAGAGGTCCCATCCCTTATCTGTGTGGTTTAAAAATAATAAGAATTAAATTGACAGTTCTTTCTCTGTATCAGATCAATAGCAGTTCTACAGTGTATAGTGATGTCTGACTGACCTGGTAGGTTGTGGTATATCCATTTCGGTATTATACTTAAATTGGATATTTGCAGTGATATATGCAGCATCCTAATAAAATGCCAAATACTGTGGCAGAGGTGCAAAATCTCTACCAATTTTACACCGCAAATCCCATTCGGTGTATTTTATTTATTTATTTATCAAGACAGAATCCAAAGCATCAACACCATTTCTAAAGGTCATGTGACTGAGAAACATCAGATGAACAAACGTACAGATTTGCATGTGCTTGAGACAGACAGACAGACAGAGAGACAGACAGGCACTGAGTGAGGATGCTGCCGCTGATGCTCTGGTAACCCCTCACCTAGATCATCCTTTTGTGCACGGCGCTCTGCAGGTTGATATCTCTGCGCTCTGTCCGCCTGCATTGGTCCAGCAAAGCAGACACACGTAGGCGCGTATCCGACCGACCAACCCCCTCTTCCCCCGGCAGACTGAGCCGGCTAGCGGCGGGACGGCCAGGCAGCGACGACAGGCTGCTGCAGTTTTCCAACGGGACGGACAGAACAGAGGTTTCCACCGAACGAGTAAGTACGAGAACATTTTTGGTTTTTTTTGAATAGGATATGGGTTTTGTTTGTGGTGCAGCGAGCACAGTAATAATATTGTTTTCCTTCATCGGTGTGAGCTGGGGGAGGGAGGGGGTGTTTCTCCTGATCTCAATCTGCGTTGCCGGGTGGAGATCGGGGATATACTAGTTGAAGGATGATAAACTAGTCAGTTATGATCCTTAAACACATCCTAACCACCACTATAAACACTGTTAACGTTATATTTGTTTGGAAAAGTGTTACTTGCTTCCTGAAGCGCCATCATTCTATGCAACTTGCATCAAATCTGCAGTAGCCTACTTACAAGGAGGGCTTTTACTGCCGTAGGCTATATTAAATGTGTGTAAGTGGTGTTGTGTGTCCACTCCATGCATGAGTTTAATTGCATTTGCCTCGATTACATCTGTGAAGCGATGACGTTATTTGTTTGTTAATTTTAGCAACACGGTTTACACATAGACGCTTTCATCCGCATGTTAATCGCCGCATGGTGTGTCATATATGTTGAGTTTGGAGTTTTTGTTGTGCGTTTGTTTTGCTCTTTGCGTTCAAAAATAAAAAGTTATTTTCAACTGTAGACCTATTCCCTGTCCAGCTCAGTCCCCCCGGCGAAACTCGTGTCTGAACACGTTGTCAGAAAGGGGGTGTGTAACCGAAAATCAGAGCCCAGCCAATGAGCGGCGGCCCCCCGCCCACACTGTAGCGCTTGTTTACTACTGAAGCGCGACGCTGATTGGTGGAAAGGTGGGGGAATCGGGCTTAAGGCTGCGTTCGGGTGCACAGAAAATAATGGGAGAGTTGAGTTATTTGTTGAAAGTGGTAAACAACTTGAGAACGTGGCGCTTGATACCCACTTTGAAAAGCAGAAATAATGGTACATTCCTGTTATCATCGGTAATTTTTGAAACTATTCACTTGATGACATAGCCACATTGTCTTTATTATGAAACAGTAGGATATAAGGACTATTTGCAGCTGTGTTTATGGTCTGACTTTTTGACCGTTTATGAATTTGTAATAATATAATACCAAATTCTTAAAAGTTGGCGGATACAAACATAAAAGTCATCATCATTGTAACCACAATAAACATGTTATTGTTGTTGTTGTTGTTGTTGTTGTTTGGAACTGCAACTAACAATTATGCTCTTTTAAATATTTTTTTAAAATAAAATTTAAAAAACTAACAATTATTTTCATTATCAATTAATCTGTCGATGGTGTAATTGCCTTACGACTTTAAACTTCGATCATGCATGGTGAATGCTGCAAAGTCACTGCTATGAGCGATTGGATCATTTCATCAACATTATTGTCACGTGCCGTGAATGCAACATTGCCCCCATTTTCAATCTATGGGCGATGGGCCACAGTCATAGGCCAGAGTGGAAGCACCATCGGAGCACGTCTTCGGAACACGTAGTCAGTCACGTACGCACGACCACGAGCAGCGAAACTACAGCGAGATTAATGTTCATCCCATAGACTGTATAAAAAGGCTCAGCCAGTAGCTAAATCATAAAAAAAGTCCGTGTTCTCTACATATTCCTGCAATGATTTTCAGATCCAAGGTGGTGTTTTTGCTCTGCACTGTCAGGTAGAAATGCCAGATGGGAAGTGTTTACCAACACTTACTTGTCGCAAATGCTGCTTTTTGTTAAGATCAAAGAAAGCACTACCGGCTATCTGCTATTTGATGCCATGGTTCATTCTGAGCATATTTGTCCAAGTTGAGAATAACCTTTAACCTTAGTTTCTTAATGATTTTAAGAAGGAATCAGTTCAAACATTACAACAAAAGTTACATTTATGGGGAATACAATATATTTTTTCATATAAAAGTGATTTTAACATGCAGTTTAAAGGGCCCACACATTTAGGAGGCATAGAGGTTTTAATGAAAGATACTATTGAGTTGCATTGTGGGAAATGTAGGATCCAGTGTTTTTAAAGCCAGACCATAGACTGTATATAAGAAATGGATGTCGTCATCGTGACGTGATGCCGTTTTGAACCTTCGAGTCTGGCTGATAGGGCGCCGCCATGTTGAGTTTTTGCACCCAGCGACACCGAACGTGACCATATTTAGACGAGCTGGTTGAGCTGTTTGCGGAGCTAGCTTGCTTGCTTAGCTAGGTGCATCTGTTATTCACCTAAACTGTCATTTTAACAAGACTGATAACTTTGTCTAGAGAACAACAGTCTTAAAACTAAATGTACTCACCAGAGAAAGTGAACAGCCGACTCCTAATAAGCTTTTTCAGCGGTGCTGGTTAAATGTACACAGTGCCGAGGGTACCAGTGGCCTCTAACCTGATTGACAGGTCGCCATGGTAACGACTTGTCAATCATAGATAATCCCACCCTGAAACATACTCTGCTTTGTGGTCTATTTTATTTCCTCATTAGGAAAGTGTTTGCTGAGATAATTATTCAAGTGAGAAGTAGGTTAATTTTACTATCATTTCTAATGGAGCCGAACTTCTTCTTTGCAACCAGAAGAGTCGCCCCTGCTGGCCGTTCAATAGAATGCAGGTTTCAGGGACTTCCGCGTTTGCATCAGATTGCTGACCGGAAGCTTCCCGCCTGAGGCAGACCCTCACAAGAGATTGGCAGAAATTAGGATATCTCAACATCTGCTGCTTTGATTTGGATCATTCTTTTTTTCTTCTTCTTTTTTAATCTCTCTCTTGTGAGTTCCCTATCTTTATGGAAGTGCAGTACTAAATTGATGAAGTACCAGACATAATAAGCAGTTTTAGGAACATTGTAGAAACATTTGAAAATGCGGTAATATATTTTGACTGGTTAAAATCTCATGTTGTCCCCTGGTGTCTTGTCTTCAGGGAGGTGTGACACTGTACTGAGTCCCCTCATTGTGTGCAGGAGCACCATGGCAGCTATGGGACCCGAGGACAGGGCTGGAACAGGCGGGGCAGCAGTCTGCTCTTTGGGACTACAGGCCTGTGTCTCTACAACGACGCACAGCAGCAAAGGGCCTGACATGCAGCCCTCTCTGGTGAGTAGAGGTTTAGGGACGAGACTCGTTGTGAATGTGTTATTGTCCATATACTGTATGTATATGTATGTATGTACTCTATTTTGGGTCAACACCATGTCACCGGTCACCAGGAAGCAATATGTTGTTTTTAACTTCTCCGGTTCAGGCTTGCACGGCATTATGGGTGCATTTCGATGATCAGATGAACTTTACAGTAAACATAAGGCCACACCACCAAAGTTTTAAACCTTCTGAGAAAACGAAGAGCTTAATGATGTGATGTACTGCCTGGTCAGAGGCTGGCACCCACATCCTTTTTATTCTGTTTAACTGGCAGATTGTGCCGCCTGCAGGCAGGATGCCACAGATGGACAGGAAATATTCTCTTAACTGCTTTATTCATGGTGACAGCGAACCTCAGTTTCATGGTATCAAAGACTCATGTTGACAGCTTTAACACAAATAAGGCCTAAACTGAGTATGGGTTCATTTCTGCTTATTTACTGACTGGAAGTGTAGTGTTTCAAGTGAACTAGAGCGAGACACAAAGATCATAACTGTTGCATATTTCAGCTAAGAGGTCATTATGTCCTTACTTCTGTCCAAAGGTGTCTACACAGAGCTGTGTCCAGGTTCAAAAAGCATTTGTGGAGAGTGGGCATCACAAGAACAAGACATCAGTTCACCTGCCACAGAGGCAGGCTGAGAGAGGCTGGAGCAACCCAACTGCTCCCTTGCAAACTATGGGACCCACAATGCACTTCAGCAACGTTTCAGCTACCAGAGAGGCGCCATACAGGTGAGAGATAGATGTCAGTATATGAGTGTGCGAGGGTGGACTTTATCCCACCAGAGTCTAAGGTTGTTTCTTTATGTTATCTCCAGTTTCCGCAGTCCAGAGTCAGTGGAGATGGATGAGATCATGGCAGCCATGGTTCTGACCAGTTTGTCCTGCAGCCCTGTGGTCCAGAGCCCTCCACAAACGGATCCTGCGCCAGGTCTGTCTCACCTCACCAGAGTCCATGCTGTTTCAGTAACACTTTCTAATAAGGCATTCTTTAAAACAGACTTTAGAGTTTTAACTGGTGGCTTTAAACAGTTTCTAATGGTAGGTATCACATTTACTAATGCGTTATAGATCATTTACAAGCCGTTATTAAAAACACATTTTGGGTTGCCAGGTTGTGAAAAATCTAATTGCCAGGTGGTTATCCTTTCTATATGATCATAATGATTAAATCATAAATGTTGGTAATTCATTCAATAATAAATGCTCCTGTATTTGTCACTTTCTAATGAACTAGCGGGTCTGCAGTTATAAAGGTTAATAATTGTTAAACGATCTAACCAGTCAAACAGAGTTTTCACAACCTGGCAACCCCAAAGTCCTTCTTATAACTTCTTATATTATAAGAATCATTGTTATATTCTTGTAACTGATCTATAATATTGACACTAGTGACAATTTTTAAAGGAGCTTTTTTTAGATGTGGTACCTTGTCTTTAGCCTGCAGCAGTATACTGCTAGCTTTGCAAAAAACAGAGGTAGTCTCATCAGCTGTTTTAACAAAGCATGATTTGTAGACAAAAGTTAAAGTAACAAAAGTAACTACATGTAATAATATCCAAAAGGTATTAAATTAAATAATATTATAGTGATATAGTCTACTGGATGCTGAGAAAACTTGAGCCAAAGTAAACTTTCATGCCACTTTCATGCAGAACCAAAATATGTCTTAGAAAAATCACAGTGGAGTCAATTGTCTGCTAAAGTAATAAAATATTTGTAACTGCAGTGGTTGTGTCAACTCTTTTTGCAAAATATATATCACACAGATGTAGCCATAATCTTAGATGTGGATCTCTCTGCTGTTTTAAAGCAATACTTTATAACTTTAGCCGAAGAATGCCACTTTTAGCGTTTGTAATATAATGTTATATGCTAAAAAGTTGTGTGATAGTAGCACAAGGAAAAAAGAGTGTTAAAGCCAGCGAACCTGCTCACCGAGTAATATATTGTTCGCTAACATTAGCTAGATTTAACTAGCATTAGCCACCACATTCTACTGGTCATGCCAGACCAAGTGAGGCTGCAGCAGCAAAACCCCTGAGTGGACTGAATTGAGCAAGGTTGTGTTTTGGCAATGTGAAAAATAAAATATCAATATTAACAGAGAGAAGAGCAAAGAGGTAGCGAAGAGAGACAGAAATGATGGTTAAACTGTCAGAAAAGAGACACACATAACATCAGAGAACAGCAGGTGTCACATACTGCTGCCAAAGCAGTATGTGACACCGGCTGTTTTCTGTAGAATGGGCAGAGAGGTATATTTTCACAGTGAATTATCACCAACTAATTGACAGCTAGGACAAACAAACCACGAGGGCATGTTAACAATATTTACATCTTTTCCAGTATTGAGAGAAAACGTGTCACTCAGAATGGTAAAAAGGAGCAGAGGTCGTTTTTTAAAAGCAAGTTTGGAATCTTTCTGTTTTCCAGCCGGGTCATCATCGCCAGCTGACATGGAGTGTGGTGGCGGCGAGCTCTCCGACAGCGGCAGCAGCGGCTACTGGAGCTGGGACCACGGCAATGTGAGTCCCGCCCCATCGCCGTCCGTCACTGAGATGGACAGCAGTCCTGATGAAGGCCTACATATGGAACAGGGGGAGGAGCTTCATGCCAAAAAGCCAAAGGTATGTAGCTGTATATGTTCCCTTAAAAGTTTAGTCCATATAGTGGATATTGTTCTATCTTTCTGTGTTTCTCTTTATTTCCTGTCGCACGCTCTCCTGTACTTTATCTGTGCTGTGTTCTCTCTCTCACAGAGCTCTTTCAGAGGTGTGTATAAATGTCTGTGGCCCAGTTGCGGCAAGGTGCTCACGTCTTCGGTCGGAATAAAACGACATATCCGTGTGCTGCATCTGGGGTGAGTTGGAATACTTGTGATTTGTACAATCATTTGCATGCTTATTAGGGATGGACACTGCTGGGAGTTTTTCAATACTGGTGCTGATACAATACCTGAGTTTAAAAAAATGACTTTGTTTGCTAACATACAAAAATGAATGTGGTGGGGAGGGTGCTGCACTTTATGTTACACTTCAAAAAATAAATGTCCTGCCCAGAGTCATTTATAGGTTTTGACAGTTTGATACTACAGACACATTTCAGTCTCTCCCAAAAAAGTCTTGCGACTTCAGATCTTTAACAGTTGCTTGTATGCGGTGATAGAATATTTAGGAAATATCAAGGTGAATATTAGGGAATTTATGAGTTGGGCTTTCTAGGTTTTCAGCTTTGCAGCCACTCTAGTCTACTGTCCCACTGTAGTCTGACAGTAGACAGACTGACTGTAGCCCTTTAGAACTTTTCTTAGCTGCAAAACAACATTAAAAAAACAAGAGGGAATAAAATTTTCAGGTTGTGGAAGAGCTCTGACTTAGTTATGGGAAGTGATGAAACATTTTTGAGATTTTATCTGGGCCACAGTGGGTGTTGCATTCAGTAACGGTCCAAACAAACAACTCACTCTTTTTAATCTGTGTGCCCTCCGGTCTGTCCCTCCATCTGGACATTCACACACTCCTACCACACACAAAGCAGTGGGTCAGATCAGTCCCAGAGAGAAGAGGACTTCTACTACACCAGGATCTCCTGTGAGACCGTGGACGCCAGCTCCACTCCAGCTCCTCCCCAGCAGGTTCTGGGACAGGTCTCTCATCTCAGCTGGGCCTCCTGCGGTTCTCCTCCGGCCTCGGGGCTCCAGATCCCCCCAGCCCACAGGCCCAGGTCCAACTCCAGCTCCGGGCCTGGCCCGAGCAGGCCCAGTCCGCTCAGCCAGTCGGCCCCTAGCAGCTTCTGGCAGATCCACTCGGAGCATCTCTATCAGGTGGGTGCAGCAGTCTTGCTCTCCATCTGGGAGGAGCTTTGGCCTGCTGACTGTGATGGTTATCATGTACTAGCAGGAAAAGTGTGCCACAGAATTACAAAATATTGTAATATTATACAGTAACATCTTAAAATGTGTCAGCACTGAGTTGCACCAGCAATGTGCAACTTCTCTCCTAAATTAGGGTGTGAAGTCGACACTAGAGACTTAGCAACTAAAATTAGTAGCACCATGGTTACTTGGGGCAGAACCTTTTGGACGTAAAGTCATAACTATGGCAAGAGGCCAATCATCATGTTTACCCTGCACATTAGATTTCTAGCTGGCATGAGCCACTTGGCATCGTAGCATATTTTAGTTTATTATATTTAAATATCCTAAAATAATTTAATTAATCCCAATTTGAATCAAATTTTTTTTAATGCTTTGTTATTGTCTAAAGGCTGAAATGTATTCTATGAAGACACTCAGTCCATCTAATTTCAGAGATTTTTTAGGCCATATTGAGTTTTGCTACAAAATACCTATTTTTATACCTCTTTTAGTATTGGCAATTAAGATCCCTAATTTCACTAAGTAATTGTTTACTTCCCAGCATTTGAGTTTTTTATCTGAAGCAGGCAGCGTTTTGATGATAGTTTGAGCGCAATGAAAGGAGACAGCATGGCCCTTGTTAGCATGAATTATTAAATTTCGGGCGTAGGTTTGCGTGAATACAGGAATTTGCCTTCCAAACATCAAAGTTTCCTATCGCCCAAATTCAACCATCTCTCCCATGCAACCAGGCTGTCATGAAAACAGAAATTAATGTATCTAGATTACTTTGTTTACTAAATATCGCAATGTTCATTTTACTGGAGTTTCTGTGCAGGGGTTTCATGTTCCATGGTTGTTGTTTTGTTTCAGAGGTCCTCCTTATCCCTCTAATGAGCCAATGAGCTACAACTTTGTTTATGCATCACAAAGCAGCACATTTCACTAGTGACCTGCATTTACCCTGTACCACTGCGCCTGTAAATGGATGCTTTGTGACAGTGAGAGAGTAAACTGTCGGCTTGCTCGCTCCCCTAAGGAGACTAGACTCTCGCCAGCCTTTAAACGCAGAAAAACACTACATGAATTCTTCTGGTGTAGTTGTACAGCATCTACAGCTTAGGCACATCAGAATTACAAACTTTAAAAATAAGCATGACAACTATTTATTTGCATTCTCCACATGATACCGATGTACCACATTTCTTTTTCATTTCCTCATGGATGCAGACACCTAGTGGGGTACTGTCTAAGCAAGAGTGTGGGTTGAATTGTGGGTCAGTACTGCTGGTGGAGCAGTGTTGCTGTGTGTGTGTGTGTGTGTGTGCGCGCGTGTGTGTGTCATGGCTGCTGGCGGTTTGAAATGCCTGACCACATCGCTGAACTCACACTGGCAGGGGTTTTTTTCTGATCAAGGCACACTCATTGTGGCTCCAGGGTTAACACAGTGGAAACTTGGCGTCATCGTGTTTAATTTTGTGGATATTAGTGTGATAGAGTGGTAGGAATACAGGTGCATATGCTTTGTTCAGAGAGTTCAGGGTTACACAGGGAGGAGAAATAGGACAGAGGAAATGAGAACAACCTCACAGGAAAGGGTAATTTAATGTGTGGTATATTGGATGTTGCCTGTCAAAAGTCATTAATTGATTAGTTATTATTATTAATATTTGGGAATTCAGCTGATGCAAGGAGGACAAAATCTGTGTTTCAAGTCGAAGAATTGTTGTGTTGGAGTCGTCTTTCTGGAGCAAATGTAAGTTGGCTAGTATGAGAATTATATCTTCCCATCTCTTGGTGCTGGATATAATTGGGGTAGCTATTAAGTTAACACTATTTCAAGGTGGGTTTACTGTCCATTATATTGGTAGCTTAGTAAAGAAAGGTGGTGTACATTTTTCTCTTCAAAATATCACTATGTAGTGTCACCATTTATCATATAGGCTTATGCTGAACAGAAAAACGAGGTGAGATCCTTAAAGCTGCTTTACTGGCAATGATATTTATCAACAGATCAAATGACTATTGTATGTTTAATGTGAAAGCTGTCACTCATAGTGACCTACAGATAATTATCACCCAAATCTGCATTTACCTCTCGGGTCTACAGAGCGTTTAAGTGTTTTGCAGCTCATTGCTTTGGTATTACAGCACGCAATATTACTCTTTTGGTTAATTCTCAAAAACCTTTCTAAAAAACATTGTAAAGAAAATATATACAGGTGAAACTCGAAAAATTAGCGTATCGTGCAAAGGTTCATTTATTTCAGTAATTCAACTTAAAAGGTGAAACTAATATATAGACTCATTACATGCAAACTGAGATATTTCAAGCCTTTATTTGATATAATTTCGATGATTATTGCGTACAGCTTATGAAAACACCAAATTCAAAATCTCAGAAAATCTGAATATTAAATGAAATCAATAAAAAAAAGGATTTTAAATACAGAAATGTCAGCCCTCTGAAAAGTATAATTATGCATATGTACTCAGTACTTGGTTTGGGCCCCTTTTGCATGAATTACTGCCTCTATGCGGCGTGGCATGGATGCTATCAGCCTGTGGCACTGCTGAGGTGTTATGGAAGACCAGGATGCTTCAATAGCTGCCTTCAGCTCTTCTGCATTAACACTGTCAATCAGAATCAGCTTTATTTGCCAGGTATATGTACTCATACGAGGAATTTGACTCTGGATGTGTAACCTTACAGTGCTTGTCCTGCACCAAACAACAGACAGACAAAGTGGAGTCATCCCTATGTTCCCAGGGTCATATGAACATGTGTGTCTCTTAATATCAATAACATTGTAAGAGATTGGTAAAAATCCATTCAGCTACTGTGGCAATATCAATGTCTTAAGTCAAGCAAAGACCTTCCACGCAAATTTGAGGGCTTCACAAGGAGGGTTACATCAGTAAGCTGTGTAAGCTATAGGTGGGTGATTTCAACATATTGACAGAGGGAAACATACATTGCTGAGAAAGTAAACCGTTTGAAAGGTCTCCTCATTGTGTCATATCAAGAGAATATTGAGCTGGGGAACATAGGGCCCTGAGAGCATCAGAATCCCAACATAGATATGTCTTAACAAAGTTAGCAGCTAGCTTATCAAAATAGCAAAGCATTTAGCAGGTAAATAGTCAGATATATTTCTCAAGAGTTGGTGGAGACAGAGCTAAATGGAGAGTGAGTATTGGACTTGGCCAGAAACATGACAGCAAATGAATGCTAATGTTGCTCTGTGTCTGGTGGTTGCGTAAATTAGCCTTATCTGTTAGCTAACATGTTGGCCCTATCAACTTGATGATAATAGCCTGCTTCTGTCAAAATCAGTTCAAGCAGGTTTAAATGTTTTCAGTCCAGCACCAAAAATGACGCCTCTCTTTCTTCGTTTCATATGAAAGTCAGATTAAGGTCCTACAGATATGATGAATCATGTGTTGTCTCGTCTCTCCTGCTCCGTCTAGGCTTGTAGCCCCGTCCAGGTATCTGTGGCTTCCAGAAGCCCCGGCTGTCAGGGTTGGACCCCCTCCGCCTCCGTCTCCGGCCACAGTAGCACTCCGGTGGGTCTTCTGTCCCTTTACCTGCCTGAGCCCGTCTGTCATTTAGTCTCTCTCATATTTTAACCTTAGAACCTGCTAAGGGAAAGGGCATGACTCAACTCTATCAAATACTTTTCATTCATAAAATTTTTGTTGATGATGATGTTTTTGCCACTATTTATCTGTGTTTGTGTAACATTTACCTCTACAATATCACAGTGGCAGCCAGGCCCGGCTCTAGGCCAACTCTGAACTCTATTTTATTAGGAGTTCCTCCTTACTTTGAGCTGAGAACTATGAAAACAAACTCTCTCTATATATAACTATATATTATAAACTATATAAAACTCTCAACATGACAACCCTTTGACATTGTAATACAACAAAGTGGCAGGAACAGTCCTGCAAACTATAAAGTGGGCACAATCCTGGCATGACAATACACAAAACACATTTCTAGTGAACATGCCTGAATTCAATAGATAAGGCACATGCCTTAAATCAGGGGTCTCAGCAACTTCCTCAAGGCACAAAGTCTCTCTAAACTGTCAATGATACAACTCTTGGCGACAGGCATGTTGGCAGAAAAACAGTACAACCCAGCCAGCACTCAACAGCAGTCATGCAATTCAACAAAATGCCATTTCAATAGGTTGATGCAGGGGGGCTTGTCAGATATTTATTTAGCATACATGCATGACGCCTGCTGTTTGTTCACGGCAATGCCTGTCGACCTGTTGGCAGAATGCAGCATCAGAGCAGGTGAAACCTTTAATCCCTTCATTCATGCATAATGTCAGGGGTAATTCTGTAATACTGCTGCTTTTAAATAACCTGACTGTTTTATCCTCGTGATTATTCTGGTGAAATAGAGTCCCACTGAGAGGGTCAAACTCTCTCTATCTCTCTGTTATCAGTGATAGTGGTCCTGGGTGCGAGCCATTACATTGGCAGTCTATTCAAACACATGCACGCACGCATCTCTTTGGGTGAGGCAGTCACAGATTCCAGCGCTAGGGCTGTCTCCAACAGAGATGTTGATTGGCTTGATATTATCCATAGAGGAGGGCCAACCACGCAATTGCATATTCAGCATACAAGGCGGGCCAGTGCTGGTGGCAGCAGAGATATAAGATGCTCAATATGCTACAGATGAGTCAAGTCAGGTTTTATTGTCATCTATGTCGGGATGAAATGACCACCTTTTCTTTTTCATGATTTATTCATCATTCATATTTGCTTAATTTGTTTTTTCAGATGATAAAACCCCGCTGCCGGTCTGTCAGTGTCGGGGAACAGTGGCTCCAACAGAATAGGCTGCAGCCTATAAGTGCGTCACCATCCCGCACTCACTGCTCCTTCAGGTGAGGCATCACCTACCTGAGTTTGCGCCTGTTAAAAGTTGACATTTAACACATTTTACTTGTTGTTAAAAATTTAAATACAACAAATAGTCTAGTCTAGCCATGCTAGCTTTGTAATGTTGAGGTAATGTATATGTCTCATGGTAGCTTAGCATGTTAGAATGTTAACATTTGGTGGTTAGCAGTAAACAGAAAATAAAGCTGCGGCTGAATGGAATGTCATTAATTTTGCAGGTATTTGGTCATAAACCGAAGTATTTGAGATTTGATGGCTCGAGGTGAAAAGTTAAGGGATCACCAAAGTTATTATATTATTATTATATGTCGTGTCCTACAATCACTACAAAAAAGTCAGTTCTTTCTTTCTTCCTCTGATGATAACCCAAAATTTCCAACATTAGTTTAGTTTTTGCTGATTTACTCTGTACTGGTAATGGTTACAGTTTTAACACCCTTGTCCCTCTAATACATATACTGTATGTTTCCTCCTTTTTGCCAAACCTTTCAGAATCATTCGCACAAAATGGAAGATAACTCAGGAGATCTTTCCAATTTAGTTGTTGGTGTAAATTCATCACTGTTAAAAGCTGCATCATAGCATTGACAGTTGTAATGGGATTTCTTTCAAAGAGGTTGTATTATTCTCATTTTCAGGTTCAAAATCCTATTTAGAGGTTGTACCAGAACAGGTTTACATGGTTTAATTTTCAAAAACACCATATTTTCTTTCATACTGCACATTGCTGCAGCTCCTCTTTTCACCCTGTGTTGAAGGCTTCGTTTTAGCTATGGAGTGATACATTTGTCTCTAAATGTTTGTTGGGAGTTGCACATGCGCAGTTCCTAGGGACTATTAGCCAATCAGAAGCAGAGAGGGTCAGCGAAAAGCTGGTAAAAACAAAGCTTCGATTCAGCTGTAGGCTACATGTTGCCGACCAGCTTGGCAACATGGACTGGAGCAAGAGTTTCAGAGTGGTGAGTTATTAATCTGGAACAAAAGTATCTTTCATCCGTAAAGTTTTAACTGAGTCTCTAAATCACAGTAACAACTTTATGTCCATCAACTGCCTGGAGGGTAGCTGGTGTTTGGAAGGGAGAGGAGGTGTGTGCTATAGCTCAGTGTTTTCCCACCGGTGTTTTTGAGGGCGTGTCGGAGTAGCCGCTTGGCGAGCGTTATATGAGGCGCATTTAGCTTTTCATCCCAGTGACATCACAGGGATGAAAGTGAAGGGGCTGGACTACACACAGGCTGATTTCAGGCAGTTCAGAGCAGAGTTTTCTGTGGGAGATGGGAACTCCCTTTGGGGTGGACTTTGGGCTTTTTCACTTTGCAAACCTGTTACATGCACAAAAAAGGTATATAATTCAATAAAGGAGAGGGGAAAAGCCAAAAAGCATAATACCACATAAATAACATTTTTCTGTTGCTAAACTGATTGAACTGAAAAACTATAATTATAATAACAATATTACTCTGGTAAATAAACTTTTTATACCTCCAGAAAACAAGAGTAACTTACATTTATTTGTTGCCCAATTTAATTCTGTGTATCAAAATGATTCTTTTCATTAATGATTAATCTGCCTAGATTGAGTGTAAATTAAGCTTTAAAAAGTAAAGCTTTATTGATCTGGGTCCACCTGAGTTTCTACCATTTTCTGTTTTGATTCTAGTATCTGTTCACTATCTTTGTTCTCCAGGTCGTTTTATCACCCACTTTGCTGCTGTCTGTAAAATCACTTTTCCATGGCTTGGTCAGGAAAGATTAAATTGATTCAATCATCTTTTCGTTTGTTATCAGTCTATTGTTACTCAGTGTCATTTTTATATAGATGGATTACATCAAGTGTGTGTGGCAGCACCCTTTTTCCTTTCCTGCCGTCTGGCATCGCTTCTCATCCACACTATTCGTGTCTTTACATTTACAGGAAGGGTCGCGGGGAGGCCAAAAAGTGCCGCAAGGTGTACGGAGTGGAGCGCAAGGATCAGTGGTGCACCGCCTGCCGCTGGAAAAAAGCCTGCCAGCGTTTCCCAGACTAAAAACAGCTGTGTGATGGAGAGAGAGAGAGAGAGAGCGAGAGAGAGAGAGAGAGAGACAAAGAAGTGGATGAATGAATGAGTGACATAAGAGGCTTTTATCAAAAAGAGGATATAAATCAGGGCCTGAGAGCCATCAAGAAAAACAACTTTTACTACATGTGTTTTTTACTTTCAACCTGTTTTCTTTCTTTCCTAAATGAAGCCAAATGAGGTTTTCTCTATCTTTGTAACTTGATCCTGAAAAATGAAGTCTGCAATGGTGCTAACTGTTGACTGACTTTGACCATGTGATGTGCTAAAGCCTACAATACTCTCCTACTTTATCCAAAGGTCACATTACTGCCCGTGTAGTTCCACTGTATTAGACTGGTACTTGGTTCTTTTCTTTACTCCAACCCTCTCTTCCAGTGGTCACACAGTGGTTATGATGTACATTATACTGTGTGCTTTGAGTTACGTACGAGTATTTTATACCTTTTTTTTATTGTCTTGTTCAGCCTGTGAATTGGGCAATTTGTTTTTTGGATTTTTCATGTTTTTGGCACTTTGTTGGAATATAAACTCACAGGAATAAGCTACATTTGGTTTGACTCAACCAAGTTCCTTCCATGGATTTCCTTCCTGCCCATGTGTTGGCATACAACCAGTGTTAATGGTTTTATCTGTAATGCTATGGAGGCGTGGCAGTGGGACTAACATTAGGGGAATGAGTTTGTGATAGCAATAAAAAAAAAGAGGAAATATATTGTCAAACACAAATTAAAACGCACTGAGAATTGTTTTTGTTCTTTTTTTTGTCTTCGGCATGACAGTCCACAAAAGAAATAGCAAACTATTTTATTGTATTTTCTCTATACACACTTGGTATGACTCAGAACAATGATATCATGTAAGAAATGCGGTCTGAAATGTACACTGTAGTCACAAATTCCTTTTTTTGTGTTAGATTGACAGGGAAACGCACAAGCACACATGCACATGCACAGTCACTCTCCCGCTCTTCAATCACCCACACTCTCGTATGCATACATTATTACATCTCGTAATCAAACACCAGTAAATACTTAAACTATCAAGATGCAAAATAATGGACGTGACCTGCATGTGGTGGAAAATATCTTGATGGCAAAACAAATGAACATATTTTGTTCGCCCAGGCAGAAACATCTTATACTGTCTAATGATGACCTCAGCTGACATGCACAGTTCATTTCATCCCTCTGCTCTTCACTGGTACATTAGGTGGTGTCATTTAGACCTCCTTTCTCATCCTACAGTACGATACACACCCAATGGCCCTGCCAGTTTTGCAGTTTCATGCACTTAATTACAATTGGACTAAAGTGATGTGAACAGCACTGCAAAAAGCCCCGAGGTGGAGTAACGTTTCAGAACTGACTGGGGATTAGTTTGTCCTTACTCCTGAGTTCCAACCAAGCAACAGTTTAGATTATTGCTCCCTCATTTTGCAGGGTAAGTTAGGGACTGTACGAAAATTATCTCTATTTTACAAAAACTGATAGTCAATCAGTCAAGTCAATGGGAGGATCGAAAGAAAATATTAATAATGCTAAAAAGTGAAATATATTCACTATAAGCTGTCATACCGACATGTTTTCTGCTTTTTAGGATTTATTCGGAGGTTTTTGACGGGGGACATAGAGATATAGGTTATGTTAATCACTAATTTCACTGTAGTTGAAGAAAAAGGTAGTCCATCCAAACAATTACATAAACTAGTACAGATATGACATGGCAAAACTGATCCCAAATCAGTATCCAAAGGCAACATGTTTGTTCCTTAAACACTAGAGGACAGTATTGTTCCACTGGAAGGAGCCCGTGGGAGCCTGCCAACCTGCTGCTTATCATCTCAAGAGAAACCCATCACTTAAAAGGTTTACATTCATAACCTCCCCATACTGGACAAAATTAGAATAAAATAGAAAAGAAGGAAAGATATTTTTCTCAATACACAGAATGAAGCAATGTGACCATGGCTTATTTTTGAGGAGAGATGAAGAGTTGTGGTGAGTTTGAAAATTCAGAAAACCAATTTTTTTGTCCATTGTTTAATTAAGTAAGCTTGTTCCGCACAAAATTTGATTCTTATACACAGTTTGTACTTGAGCACTCCCACTGTCCAACCATATTTACATCTGACTGATCTATCTTGAAAGGGCATTGCTGGTTAATAATAATTATTCATTTAGCTTTTATCCAAAGCGACTTACAATTGCTACATATGTCAGAGGTTGCACGCCTCTGGAGCAACTAGGATTTAAGTGTCTTGCTCAAGGACTCATTGGTGGATGTGTCACAGGTGGAAGCGACCCCGGGTCTCCCACACCAAGGGAATGTGTGTCATCCACTGTTCCATTCCCACCCACGCTGGTTCACTTCCAATTTGATTCTACTACATGTTTCTGCTGACGTGATGCTGTATCAGCAATATATTATGGTTAAGTTGAAGGCAAACCTTTGTATACGATTTGTTTAGTCCCAAATCAAAATAATGCCATTTTAAAAGGGGAAACCTGCGTAGAAAAACATAAGTCCATTGCATGAGAGCTGGACATTAGTAACAGCTCACATAACCCAAACCACTGAGTGCAAAACACTGCTGTCTCATCCACACATGCATGAAAGTCACGCCCTCAGATCTCACCTCAGGTGAAAAGCTTGCAGTGAATTAGTCTTCCAATCTCATTTGGCCCTTTTTATTATACCGACACACACAAATATATTCAATTGCACTTCTCTATTTCTTTTATTTCACAGGACGGCATGTAAATATGTGTAATAAGAAGGACATCACGGTCAAAACATTCCTTGTTACTTAGAGACACAAAGAAAGGTGCAGCGAAATGGAAGTCTGTTCTTCTGATGACGATGGTGACGTCAAATTGGAATGAGCTTCCGAAAACATGATTGGTTGAGGTAACTGGGGCAGGATTCAGTGAGCGCAACAGGAATACGTTACAGTTTGTTTTGCCTCCAAACCCGAGTTACAGGGATGTTGTTAAACCTGCCGCTGCGGCTGCTCCTCATGCCCAGGTACTGCCTGAGCAGCTGGTTCACCCGTTTCTGACTGTTCCATTTTCGAGCAGATTTACGGACGCCTATGAACCCACCATAGCGCTTTTGTAGGGGCCTCATGGGTGAGCCAATCAGCTTCCTGTATCCATGCCGCCCCCTCTGAAAGCCACCAAAGCGTTTGGATAAGGTGATGGCCTGCGAGCTGTCGTCCTCGTCCCCTTCTAACTGGCTGTCTCTCTCCACATTCCTCTCCTCCCTCAGCTTCCTCTCTTCGTCCGCCATACTGAGATCCAGACCCTGCAGGCCCTCCCCCTCCTCAGAGGATTCCAGCAGTGATGAGTCATACTGGACACTGCGCTGCTCAAAGGGTGTCTCATCCTGATCCCCCTCCTGGAAGCGCTCTGGGGCTGGAGACTGCTGCAGCAGTTCACTGTCCGAGTTCAGGTCAAGAGAGGTCAGCTCCATCTCCTCTCCTGTTCTCTTGAACAGAGCGCCTCCCTCAGAAAGAAAAGGATGGTGCGATAGCTTGACGGCACGTTTGCACACCTCCCATGTGAGTGAAGAGGAGACGTGACCCTCACACTCCAACAAACACACCTGCAGAGGGAGAAGAAAGAGTGATGTGTTAAGGTAAACACAAGAATTCATTTAACTAACTAAAATACTAAGTTAAATACTAAATTAAATAAAGAATGTCCATAATTTAAAATCAACACAATGAAAGACACTGAGACATCATTTGAAGAGTTAAATCCCCACAGGCAGCAACATGAAGGCCTAAGGAAACACAAGGTGGCAATGGCAATGGGAAGTACTCAACATGAGTGAGTTTTTTCATTCCATAGAAACTTTGATAGAATCCAAAAGACTGGACACAGTGTATCAGACAGAAAGTACACAGCAAAAATCAGGGAGATTTTAATTTCATTCACACGCTGTTTTTGATTGGAAACTGAAATATCCTCACTGACATCTTAATTATGTTGTTTTATGCTTTATAGATTACCAAGATACTGCATAACACACCACAGCAGCATAGAACTGTATGTGTTCGGTTGATTGTCCACAATCTTTGATCACTTGTTACTGATACTAACAATTGCATGATAGCAGCTGTCTGTTAGGAGCCAATTAACATTATCAACATGTAAGGTATCTTAGTCAATCCTTAAAGCTCGTTTAATCTGTTTTTTAAGGCCACTTGGGGGCAAAACTCAACATCAAGATGAATATAAAACACCTATTTTGATATATAAAGCCTTTAGTGAAGTTGAAGTTGGTTAGCCTTTTTAGACACCCAGCAGACAAAAAGCGACATTAACATTTATTTGGAGTCGTGTTTCTGGCCACATGAGGAATTTAAGTCCAGTATGGGCTCTCCTTTTAGCTCTGTTTTAGTCTTCACCAAGTCCTGATGAACGTAACTGGCTCTTTAGCTGCTTAATGCACCAGGAAAAAGTTGCAGACCAGAGAACCATAACAACAAGCTGAAAGATGCTAAAATGCTGCATAGAGCTGATGAGAAGCCTTTTCACATTAAAAAGAGTTATTAAAGCAATTTACCATACAAAAATATTAATTTTGTGCAGCTCACAAATGACCACTTCATGTGTGCGAGTTGCTCTATCAGTAATCAGTCAATCGGTGAGGATGGGTGAGCTTAAAAAACTTCATATTAACGACAAAAAAGGAAACAACGGAGTCACACACTGTAGTGCCAGATGCAAAAATGTACTTATTTATCTACTTGAACATGTTAATAAAAGATCGTTGCATTAATTTGAGTGCATGTTTATAAATTGTCCATGGTCAGCATCTCATTTCTGGCATTCAATCACACAACCCAAGAGTGATACGACTTTGCTGTACAACCAGACTTGGGCTATAGAGAAAGACGTCATTTGACCTGGATGACGTATGTGTCATGGGAGTTAATGGGCCCTGCTGTGTTCAGCGTATATGGAAAGTCATGTACCAATATGAGATGTCCATCATTTGAAAATTTGTGACATCTACTTCTGCAAAATGATTGACAGCACAAAATTGGGAGAAATTACAAATCGGTTTGAAGGACAGCGGGTAAATTATGTCCACTTTCTTTTCAGATTGTCTCTTCAACTCTAATGATATTTTTGCTCTTAAAATGATATATACAGTTTTCTGAAAGTGAACTTTTTGTATAAACTTAACGTGCTGAATCACTGACTCTGTGCGGTTCTAATGACCTTCCTGTCTTATTATCATCACACCTGACAGTTAGGCTTCATTCCTGAACACTTTTGGTGGAACAACAACTTTGCCTGGATGGAGGTAAGGACATATAAAGAACATCTGAGTTTTATTTTTGCCTATCTGAAAATAAATTTGCCCTAATATTTAACCTGCTGACTCACTCAAAATAAAACTGCATTAAACATTTATACCTTTAAACGTAAAAAACCAATAAATATATCTGAAAAATAGGCTACAGCTGCTGCACTTTAGAGATTTATGCATACACACCTCTCCCTTCTCCCCTTTCTTAACTCCTGAGCCCTCTGAGATAAATTTCAGTTTGAGGTAAGAAGCAAATCCCATTTACTCATCAAATCTCGCTCAAATGAGATAAATTGCATTGTTATCGGAAAAACTGCTCACATCAAAGGAATGAGAGAGAAGAGGGAGTTCCGCTGTGAATCTATCAACGGAAATTAATTATCCATCGTAAATGAAATAAGCACACCAGGGGATTCTCCACGTC